ATGAGCCATATTACGAAGAGGTGGCGGATGAGTTACTTTATCCGGTCATTCCTCCACAACATGGGGGACAGCAGCACGACTGGCAGCAATCTCTCTCTCTCGAAGACTATTCCTCCTCGTCTCATGACTATTATGACGGATATCACAACTCTTCTCAGTATCAACAGCAGCGGTATCCATCCAACGCATTCTCGTACGACGCCTCCCACGACGCTGAATTCGCGTATGTGAGACAAACCCGGAAAATCTCGCGCACTCATGACCACCGACAATCTCGTGGCCAATCAGCGCAATGGCGAGGTCCTTCGGGTGGTGGCTGCTCTTCATGCCCTGTGTCGTATGCAAATAGCGTCCGAAGCTTTGCTTCATCGTTGGCTGAGGACTTGCATCCAGCTGATCTTGATCGGCAACCTCCACCCTCGACGTTCGGGCGGTATTCGGGAGGGTTGAATTACGGTACCCAACGCGGAAACGGGTGCGGAGGTTCGGCTGTGACCAGGTCAATGAGTGGGAAAGCCGAAGCAGCATGGAAGGGGGTGTCTCTTAGGACCCGTGCTGGAGTTGATCTTGGGGATGGACTTATGGCAAGAGGGAGAGCATGATGTAGGATGGGCTTTGAATAATGATGGCATCAAATTGGAAAAACAGGACGAGTCGAGATTGGATTGACCAAAAGGAGTTTACGAGATTCGTACTATTTGGACAATGTTGGGTATTGCATAAGATTGACACGGTCGTCTCTCGGCATTGTTGGGCGTATGGAATTGTGCAGACGACCTCGTAGGAGGATATTTTGGGCATATTTCGCAGTCTTGAGTAGCTTGTCTACATTCATTGGCATTAATGTCTGTCTGAAATCTGTGCCTGTTTCTTGACCATTTGCCATCGAAGCACCAAGACCAATGGTATGTGAAGAGTCCGTCTGGATGGGGCCCGAAGCTATCATTGAATGTGACAGGAACGTAGAGCAACAGGAGCAGCTGCATTAGGGTTTTGGCCCCTTTTATGACGAAGAGTGCTTGGGAAGCATATGCAAGGGGATGTTGAGCTGAGGAGCATCGTGATTGGTGTCGATGCCGCTGGTCGAAATCAGATCCCGCCGTTGATGGTTCGTTTGGCGCAGTTTATTGGCGACTTGCGTAAACGACGAATGTGACTTGCGGGTACGAGGAGAACGTCTGGCTGAAGATTTGTTGTCAAATGACTATTTTCATGACCAAGACACACACTGGTGACGCCGAGCAGGATCAATGGCTTAACGAAGGGGGGTTATGGACAGATACTCCATCTCACTATCTTTGTCCTCGCATGCAGGAAACCTGGATAATAATTGCAGGAGAAGCACCGGGAGCGACACACGGCTGCAACCATGTCCAACGCCCTGAGCAAGCCATCTTAAGCTTAGTCGAGATCCTAAAAGTCGGTACCATCTTCGCTTCCAACTTTCAATTTCCCCGATTGCTTCTCATATTATTCCTCGCTGTCTTTTGTGTCTCTGTTCCACTCTTTTGCCCCGGACCGCCAGTCCAACTTTGTCCGATCTTGCCGTCAAAAAGATCCAGTTGTGTCCTTGTCGTTTCTCTGCCCGTCAGCTATGGCTCAAGTCGAGTCTCCCAGGTCACCGACCCAGCCTGACACGCTCCTGTCCGTCACTGCGCTCGCCCGTTTCGAGTTCGAACCGGGGAAAGGGAACGATGGCACCAAAGTCATGATGGTGGAATGGCAAGACGATGATCAGACAAGAGATAAGACCGGGAGGTGGCAGGTCTCGTGGTCCGGCAAACGCACCGTCTTCCCAGCAGACGACAACCCCTCGGACAATATCCGCCGTGTATATTTCCTGTTGCCTCCGGGTGCCATTGTGCCACCTCACATCACTTTGGCGTACTATCCCCCCATCAACCCCGCCGAACCTGCCGAGACCTCAACCACAGAGCAAGCGCCTTTGAGAATGACGGTGAACCCGTTACCTGCTATCTTTACCCCCGAGCTGGGAGCTACGGCCAAGGCTAGTGGGAGAAAAGGCGTGCTGCATACTATATGGGCCAAAAAGAGGCTCCAGGTCTTGGACAAGGAGATCAAGCATGAGGAGGAACATAATCTCGAAGGCATTGCTCTGGAGATGGCCCGGTCGGAGAAGTCCTGGATTGAGAATAACTTTGGTCTGACTCCTAAACCCCCAAGCCTCGATCTGAGCAATATTCCCAAGTCTCTAGGCCCCGTGAGTCCCGGGATTCAAAGCCCCAAGTCTCCTGGTGGAAGAAGGCTGAGCGAGAAGCTCAAAGGCTTGAGCATCGGTACGAGTGACAGAGACCTCAATGCTAGAGGCCTCAATACTCCAACACGCGAATCCCATCCTCTTTCGCCCGAGGCATCCGATATGGCATACTCGTCGTTTGGTACCTTCCGGAATGGACCAACGTCCGCTTCCTCTGTGACTGGGGGTAAAAAGGTCGTCGCTCAGGCACCACCAGACTATATCAAAAAACAACAGGCAGACTCGCCCGCTAGTGCTTCGCTGCTTAACTCTATAAGCCAAACCACGAAACAGGAAGACCCTGATGAAGAAGATTTATTCGCGGTCGCCCTAAGTCCGAGGTCACCGGATGGTCCAAAGAGTCCGTTCTCGATATCGAGCGCAGAAGTTGGTGCATTTGCAAAGATCAAGGGCGAGCGGTGAGGAACACGCCACCTTGATGATGGTCACGACATGGTTTACAGCAAGAGACGATTGATAACACGATACTAGAAAACTATTTGAAGACTGCATAGAGTTGGAATTCCAGCCCCAGATCATGAATGCCACGACCCTTTATGTCCAACATTCACCCGCAACATTCAACTGAGCTCCCAGCTGCCGAGTAGCCGCGATGCCTCTTCCACTTAGCTGGTGCCAGCAAACATGCGTGCAAAGCACTCTGATAAAAATGCCCCCTTCTAGAAAATAAACATGACGAGATGAAATTCGAGGAACCACAAGGAAATTATGCAAACATGGCCGCCGCAAGCAATCCCCCCACAACTGCCATCACCGAGCCACCCAGTTGATTCGCGTCACCCTGGAATGCCGATGATGAGGGAGCCGGTACGCCAGCAGATGACGGAGCAGATGGCGAAGGTGGCACGTTTCCTCCGGGCGGAGCTGTGTAGCTGGCGCAGCCACTTCCAGGACATTGAACAGTGGTAGGAGCTGGGGCCATGGCGGTTTTGGTGCATCCGCAGACCTCGTCGTACCAGGTGTACTGGGTGCCAGCCAATCCTGAGCCGGTGGCGGCAGCTGTCGCGGGCAACTCGGATGTCTTTGTGCAGCCGCATTCGTGGTCCCAATAAGTGACGGTCACGGTGGGAGCTGCAGTTGCTGTGGGGTCGACAGTGGCAGAGATGAGAGTGGCCGTGACGGTAGCATTTGGCATTGGGGTTGTCATGGATGTGGGAAACCTGGTTGAACTGGACGATCCTGCAGCAGGAAGGCTGACGCTGAACAGAGGCGAGAAGTCCATGGCACCGCTCTGAACCAAGGCCAGCGCATAGTTGCCAGCAACAAAACCATCTGGGACTGTGATTGTCCAGTCATACTCTGCATCGGTGGCAGTTTTGTTTTCTGTGCAACATCCGTCAGTCAGTGCCAGTCATATGTGAGGGCGCGTTCAACTCACCGAAGATCGGGGTATTCCAGCTCGTGTTCCCCAGGAACAAGGAGACAGGTGTCCCATCGCCCACGGTCCAGTGGATGGGCCAGACTTGCCCGACAGTGACGGCATTCCACGCCATATCCGGGGTGAAGGTGGCTGTTTGAGCCATGGCGTTAAAGGCGAAGGTGCCAGCGGCGACAAGCGAGGAAGAACGCATGGTTGCAGTGGGATATGGTAGTTTGGGGATGGCAAATGAAGTCTTTTCGGCCGTGAAAGCTGTGAGATGAAGTGTTGGAAAATTGCAAGGGCAAAGGTAAACGAACGACAAGAGTTTGAAGGAGTGACTGAAGAGAAGAAAGCGAAGATGAAAGAATCGTCGAGGCACGAGCGGCAGAGCCACGTAAATGAAGGTGGCCGGCCATGCCGATGTTTGTTGTTGCTGCTGGACGAACACGGCGCATTCCAGTGAGGAATGGGGGTTGCATCAAGGGTGGTTGTGATTTCGACGCTCGCACACGACGCATTCCTGGGACGGTGGACGCTCGACAAATGACAAGACGGATCAACTCTCGAAGCCCAGACGATCAGACCGACAGCTCTGATCTGGAGTTACGTATGGTCGTCTGGGCTCTGGCATGTCGACTCAGCTTGGAATGAGATGGGTAATCAGATTGCACCACGACCTGAGGGCCAGCCACTGTGGGAGTGGATTTCAGTTTGTTCCTCGGATTTACCTGTCAGTTGTCTCCTCCAGCAGATGAGATATGAGATCCGAGCGACATGCCTTGAGCTGTGGCCAGGCTACCATGGGGAGCAATGATTCGAAGGGTCAAAGGGGGCTCTCAACTGATAGACATTCGTACGACCTTCCATTACATAGAATGCTGGCTTACGGCCTGGCAATCCCTCACCCGGGCCCGGCGATCTCGCACCGACATCTCAACAAGACTTTCGTTCTCCTACCATCATTCCTCGCAAATCCAGGTCCTCGCTTACTCCGCAGCGCCATGACCACCTTCTCCTCCGGGCACCATGGCGATCGTCCCCCTAGCAGTGCCGGAACCGACCAACCCGTCCTTCGAGACTCATACGTGATGCCGCGCTCGTCCTCGTTCCAGATTTCAGATGCCTCAGCAGGAAGGGTACGGTGCTTGAACAGGGTGATTTGAAAATGACATTGAAGAACTTGGTAAGGATTTCGCGCAATGTCTTCTGATCCTCGGAGTGCGTGAGTGGAAAGAAAGCCATGTCGTCGAGCGCAGTGCAATGCCTAGGTTCCCGTGCCTGCAGAGTCGTCGGCCACACACCCATCCTGACCGGAGGCCATTCCGACCCCATTGCCGGGTGTTGTGTTTGCTGGCTGGCCGGCTACAACAGAGCCACAACACCGACGAGAGCCGCGGGCACAAAGACGCCTGCAGCCGACAGTGCTGCCGCCGCATTACCGGAGTCCCCTTCACCCGTCGCAGCTGAGCCATCGGCCGATGTCGATGCCGTCCCGGTGGTCGCCGCGGACCCCGACCCCGTCTCCGTCGCAGAGGCGAGGGCCGTGCTCGCCTCGGAGATGTACGAGGAGACGAGACTCCCCGCGTCACCGGTCAGGGACAAGGCGCTGGTGGCGCTCTGGATGGCCGACTCGATGCTCGTGATGAGCGGCTCCGTGGCCGTGTCGGTGCCGATGGCCGACACGACGCTCGAGACGAGAGAGGTCGCGTCCGCCAGGAGCGAGTCGAGGTCCTGCGCGCGGGCGAGGGGGCTGGCCAGGGCGAGGGTGGCGAGGAGGACGCTGGGGAGACGCATATTGGTTTTTGGGTGCAAGTGTTCTGGTATTGATTGATTGATGGAAAGGGAACAAGACGGTCAAGGTGATTGATCGGCGTTGCCTGTGGTGTGTGGTTTCTGATAATCCTTGCCAGCAGGACTCGTTAAGGAGTGAATAAGTGAGTGGATGACCGAATTATACGGACAAGGACAAGGACAGACTAGAGTTGGTATGAGCGTCTGAGGGTATGAGATGGGGATATCAGAGAGAGAGTGAGTGAGAGAGAGAGAGAGAGAGAGAGAGAGAGAGAGTGTGTGTGTGTGTGTGTGTGTGTTGATGAAGAAAAAAGGAAGAAAAAGGAGAAAAGAAGCGATTTTCAAGGCGAGGGAATACGGGGGTTTTGTCGACGTTTGAGATATTATCAAATCCTTTCTCATCGGCCCCCTTACGAGTGAGTACCAGGTACAATAAATCAATCAGAAGTTGGGATCTTCCCTGCCCAAGGTTTCTTTTCTTTCTTCGTCTATTTTCTTCACTGCCTCACTGCCTCACTGCCTCGATTCTCGCTCTTTGCTTGCGTCTCATCTGCTAGCACCTAGTCCCTAGTTCCTAGTACCTTACTCCATACTGGCAAACTATCTCCGCTGTATCTTGGCGTCCACTCCCCTCCCAATGAAAAACAGTCGAAGAAAAAGGGCCCCAAATTAATCCTGTATACCTGTATGGGAACTGGGCTGATCGTTGTCTCCGCATGGGGGCGTCCAGGGTACCATACGAGGAAAGGAAGGGAACGGTTCGCGTTTGATGTGCAGGGGATGGAAGAGGGGGGCCCAGGAACGAGGTCCCCCTTGTCGTCGTTAGGATTCGTTAAAAATTCTCCGATGATCTGGGCTGTGGGCAGTGGACACCAGGGGTTTGGTGACCTTGGTGAGAAGATCACCGAAGATCAGGGAGACGACTTGAGGAGATGAGAGGTTCCTACAGTAAAGATGTACTATAGTACTATGGTACTGTGGTACTATGGTACCGGGTACTATGTGCTACTCCGTGTATATCGCGTACTGTACTGGGAAAGGGGGTATCTGGCGCATCAACCCAGGAAAATCCCATCGCATCCTCCGGACAACTTACTTGGTGCCTGTTCGGTTATCAGGACACCACCATTGAGGACCTACCGAGTCCTAGTACGAGTCCCTGCGAGCAAGGTATTATCTAGGTACCAAGAAGTCCAAGCCCTGCACGGTCAAAGCCCTACGAAGTTTGAAAATTTCGAGACCAAAGGAACCATGAGAAAACTTTGTCCTCTGTTATGTTTTAGAATCTGCCCATCAAGGCCCGCAAGGCCCCCGACAAGCGTGTTTCAGGACCATGAACCCCACGCACCCCTTAAATCCCCCCTCGCTTCTTGGCTGGGGAAGGATCGGCGAGGCTGAGTCCCTACCTCATCTTTTTACTAGTACTTAGTGCTGGGAGGGTGATGTGACGTCATCAGAAGTGGTGGTGGTGGGACCAATCATGACATATCACAGCCTCGAGCGCAGAGCAGCGTAGCCTCGCGATGGGGAGTATGAGGGAGATGCCCCAGAGGGGCGGAAGGGGGAGAGAATGGTAATGTCCGGGTGGAGGAGGAGCGTGACCACCTCTCGCTAGGGGTATTTACTTATGTACCGAGTACATATGCAGCTACGGAGTATGGAGGTACCCTCATATAATCCCCACCATGGACATCAATATGAGTTCCATCATGGAGAGGAAACACGTGTTGGTGTATTGAATATATATATGTATATACTCGCATGCCACATACGCATACGTACACAGATACACATCACGACAGCCACCCCTCAAAGAAAAGATCACGCGCACAAAATCACACTCTGTTGGGATATGAGTCTACTCGTACTCCATAAATACTGGTACCGTAGGTATGCCGATCAAGTTTCATGCTCCCCTCTGGCACACACACGCCGTCGCCGGTTACGAGGAGATCATCAGTCAGCCAGTCTCGCAAATACTTGTACTGAACAAAAGATCAGCAAGATTGAAATTGCTACCCATCAACCAACTGGGAACGACTCATCATACCTCTAAAAGATTAACTAGTCTACCCGATACAAACAGAATGAAAGACAATTCCATTCACGCTTCTCTCTTCTCGCGCAGGCCTGGCTACCTCTGCCCATCGCTCTCTTTTTTACTATGGTCGGCGAAAGTCCACACTCACAGTGTCAGAGTCCTCGGAATCTTGACCCACGACGTCCGGACTGCTGGCCCTAACCACCGGACGAGGTACAGCCAACGGCACTGGATTCGGTTGCACCCTTGGCAACACCGGCGCTGGCGAATGTATCCCTCGTGCTATCCTCGCCTGTCGCCTTGCTTCTTTCCTCTTCTGCTTCTCCTGACCCCGCCTAGCCCGCTTGGTCAAGTTATATATTTGGAGCGCGTGGTCCAAGTTGAACCCTTTTGGTCGACTCCGAGCTGTCAAGTTTCCGGTGATATGGCGATACCCCTCGTCGGCTCCATGGCCAAGATGATTGCCTTGTTGGTCGAGCGCCATGAGTTTGTTCACCAGGTCGGCCTTGAGCCATCTCTTCTTTCCCAATGCTTGTTCTAAGTTGGTGAATCCGCGGTTTCGGAGTTCCCGCTCCAGCTCGTCCACAAACATCAGCTCGTATTCCTGCCGAGTCGGGACAATCCTGTGGCGTCTGGGTGAAGTTCGACGTCTCGCCAGCCGTGCTGTGTCAAGCGTTGAAGGGGTGTTCTGGGAATCCGACTGACTATCGTCAGTGTCCTCTTCTTGATTGCCTGTCTGGTCCGCCGCTCCACTTCCATGACTATATTGCTGCTGCCTGCCTGGGGCGTCCTCGGTCTCGTGCACCTGGGCGTACTCCAGGAAAAGATGTCGTAGCTCCCTCACTGCTACAATGAGCCGGTTAAACTGGTGGCGGAACCCAAGATTGGTTCGCAAGTGCCTGTCGTCAAAGAACTGGTACAGTCGACCATAATGTTGACGCACGTCCCTGGCCGCCCTTCTGCAGAGCATGACCGTGGCAGGGTGGTCCGGGTTTGGATGTCGGGTGTCATTTCGCGATACCGTTTCCATGAAAGGCGGCGGGCCGGCCTCCAGCAACACGAGATATTGGTCTCGCAGCTCCATAATCCTGTCCGCCAATCCATCCATTATCATATAGACGTCCCGCCGTACCGACTCATTATTAATCCAATTCGGCTTTTGCGCATACATGGCTGTAACAGCTTGATGGAGGAATCCGTCGATACCAAGATCACTCAACTCGCCCTTGTAGCCCGGGTCCGTCTGAAATACTTTGGCTATATCTCGATTGTCGTCGTCTCGTGGCTCTTCTCTGGGTGGTCGTCTGATATGGGAAGTGTGACCTGCATCCTGACTCGCGGCCTGCTCCTCATTCCCCTTCTCCGTTTCATTCTCCTCTTGACTCCCCTTCTCACTCTCCTCTTCACTCGCCTCTTCACTCCCCTCTTCACTCGCCTCTTCACTCCCCTCTGAACTCTCCTCTTCACCTTGCTCATCAACTTGCTCATCATCTTGCTCATCATCTTGCTCATCATCTTGCTCATCATCTTGCTCATCATCTTGCTCGCCATCCTGTGCCACAACCTGGTTCATAACCTGATCCACAACTTGGGTCACAATCTCATTCACAGTCTGGGTCAGCGCCTGGACCACTGCCTGTGTCATGGCATGGACTACAGCCTGATTTGCCTGCAAGCCCGGATTCTGATTCGGCCCACCATCGGAGGCCTCGTCCTCGTGGATATTGAACGGTGGCGGCGTGCTGGGTTCCACAACACGCGCATGTCTACACACGTGGTGGTATTGGCCTGCAAACCTGGGGCAAGGGTGACAGCGTGAAGAACATGGTTCAGGAGAAGAGGAGCTGTGAGGAGGTCGAGACGGCTGGGAGGACCTAGGTCTATGGTTTTCTCGATCGGAACTTGGTCGAGGGCTGTCTTCATCGGGGTTATCATCGTCAGGGTCCGCTGCCGTGGGAAGTTCGCCCAGCACTGGCCTGGTGGGAGGCTGCCCAGCACCATGATAGTGGTGGTTAATGCCGTCATAGTCACTGCCTGGGGGATAATCAAACAATCCAGCACCGGATTCGGCGAGAGTATCCATTCTGTAAGCATATACTTCCGTGTTGTGATCCATAGAATTCTGGTCAAGGAGTCGTGGACGCTGACCATTCCGGCTCTCAGGTTGATGAGAGAAACGAACGCGTCGATGTTGCCCGTCAGCGGTGTCTCTGGCCGGGCTAACGATTCTGTCACTCACTACCGAGTATAATTTTACGGCCTTGCCAACATCGTAGGTCGTTTGCTTCAACAGCCGTAGCATTTCGTCTTCGTCGGGATGAATGTCGGCCCCATAAATGCTGTTAAGCCTCCTTCGAAAGATCTCTATCGCCAACCGTCGATATGCTAGTGGATTGAAAGTACTTCTTTTCCTGTGCAATGATGGCGCTAATCGTTGAGGTGGAGGCCCTCCTCCACGAAGCTTGAGACTTGGACTTGCGACAGAGGTAGACTTGCGCACTCTTGCTTTTGGGTCAATGGGACGAGGCCGTGGTTTCAATGCAAGTCTTTTCGAAGGACGTGAAGGAAGAGTGTTGACTTTTGGGCGGTTCACATCAGAAACACGGCGTCTCTGTGGAAGCAGTTGCCCTATCGCTGAGCGGATCCATTCAAATGGACTGGATAACCTGTTGGACACTGAGACTTCGGCAGGATCGCGAGCATGACGGGGAGGTCGATTGACGAGAAAGTCGGCTCGTGGACCATCTGAGACTATTCCGGGCTGGCCCATCTCTCTGGAAATTTGCTCGTGCTGGACAATTTCATGAGCCCGTGTCTCGGGAAAAGGGTAGTAGACATAGTCAAACGCGCTTTTCATGTTGATCCCCTTGGGATATGGAAACAAGCCTTTCGACTGCTTCTGTGCGGCACCTGCAAAGGACTCGGCATCGTCAAGGCCGGCAATGGACGAGCTCGAGCGTGC